GGCTGGGCTCTGAGCCTGCAGCCCCCAGGAAGCCCAGGGGTCTTGCACCCTCAGAACTGCTGCTGAAACTGAGAAAAGACATTTTATTTTCCCTGGGCTGTTTCAGGTCAAATTGTATAGCCTCAAATTTTATTTTTTTAAAAGTCAGAGAGTAAACCAGAACAACAGGAGGGATTCTTGAAGAAAGTGTCTTGGTGGGTGGTGCCTGTGGCTCAAGGAGTAGGGTGCCAGTCCCATGTGCCAGAGGTGGTGGGTTCAAACCCAGCGCTGGCCAAAAAAAAAGAAAGAAAAAGAAAGTGTCTTGGAAAAGCTACCACTTTTCCTGTGGGCACCGAGGACTCTTCAAATGGGAACCTGAACCAATGTAAGGAGCAGCTTCCTGTTTCTTTAAAATCCCGAATGTTCCATTGGCTCCAGGCCGGCAAGGTTTTGACAGTTTACACCTGGTGATATTTAGAGAACATTTCTGCAGAAAGCTGAGGGGAGGAAATATTTGGTATAACTTGACATTACATCCTCTGGCTGATTGTTCTCTCTTTTGCCAATATACCATTTGTCCATAAAACCCTTAGGCCTAAAAATAGCTGCGGGAGTTTAGTGTCATTGTGGATGAAGGGCGACTGCCCTATTTTTTTGGCTTTCATACACCCTCAAAATGTCTCAACGAAATGTCATCCAAAGGAATTAGCTCATTAAACCTGAATTACCAGCCAGGATAGGACCAGACAAAACTTTGCAATTGGACAAATGAGGCCTCAGAAGTGACCGCCTATTACTGCTCCTGGGGCAGCATCTGCCCCGGGCCACAAGACTTAGCTGCCAAGCCCGGACACTCTGTGAAAGGAGGTGCCTTTCATAATCCCAGCAGGTCAAAAGTCATGAGCTGGGACCATTCTGGGCAAATACTCGCCCTTGGCCAAATCTAGGCTGGTCAGTTGGCTCCACTCCTATATTTCTTAAGCAGTAGAGAGAAGGGGAGTTCCTCAGATTCAGGGGGCTGCTCCCTGAGCATCTGCACAGCCTAGGGTGTGATGATGGGGCTCCCCTTCCACAAACCTGGCCCTATTGCTCCTGGTTCAGGGCTTTTGCCTTCTCAAGGTCACAGCATCACCCCTATTTCCCTTTGGGGCAAACCAGAATTCCTAGGAATGGAGCAAACACTCCGCCATGTCCCTAACCTGCCTGTTTCTGTCATCCACAGCCTGAGACTGAGGACGAGAAGAAGCGCTTTGAAGAAGGCAAAGGGCGGTACCTGCAGATGAAGGCAAAGCGGCAGGGCCAGACAGAGCCTCAGCCCTAGACCCCGCTCCTGCTGCCAGGCCTCGAGCTGCGGCAACAGACCCAACGTCCTATCACTTAGAAGTTACCCCCTTGGCCAAAAACCCAATTCACATTGAGAGCTGGTGTTGTGTGAAGTATTCGTATCGCAGTGTTAACCTATACTCTCTCCTGAAAACCTACACACCAAAGCTTTATTTATATCATTCCAGTGTAAATGCTACACAGTATTGCCCCGAATGCAGGAAGCATTCCATGGAAGCTCTAGGGATACTTCCGAGTGCACTGTAAGGTATGTGAAGAATCCAGCACCACTAATAAAGCTGCTGTTTGGCTGGGCCCAAGCGTCTTGGGTGGTCATTTGTCTTGGGGGGCTGCTTTCCCACTGGGCATGGAATGAGGAGGCGTGGGTGCTCTCGTGTGTGTGTGTGTGTGTGTGTGTGTGTGTGTGTGTGTGTGTGTGTCCTTAGCCCTCCATTCCCATTCCTGTGAGCTCACTGCCATCCTGGGCCCTGCCCCTCCCAGTACCCCCTCCTGTGTATTCTCAGAACCTCAGGTACAGCCATACTGATCCATGTCTGGCTGGAGAGAATGCCCATTTCCTGTAGGGCCCTGGCTCCAGAGCCCCTACCCTGCTCCCAGGACCTCCAGAGGCAGCCTGGACCCTGAGGGGGTGTAGACTCAGGCACACCACTTCCCCACTGTCTGGCTTGTGCAGGTGCCAGCTCTGAGCCTGTGGGGGTTCTCTCATAAACATAATCATGTTGTGGGAAGAACCCAACATGGCCTGGCCTGAGGACAAGTGGGAGCCCCACGCTGGCCTCAGCTGCTCCTCACCAGAAACTGCTCAGACACTCCAGCTGGAGCCCAGGACGCTGTGCCTGATGTGGAAACTCCCCCAGAGTGGCTGGGAGTTATTGGGATGGGTGGGGTGGGGGTCAGAGGAACAGTGTACATCGGTGTTATTGGAGTGAAACTGTGTGCATGTCTGTGTTGCTGCATGGCGTCACTGGCAACATACCTGCCACTGCAGATGTGTGTGTGGTGTGCAGGCACCTGTGTGTCTGGGTTCACATGTGCATCTAGTCAGCAGTGTCGTGCATCTAGTCAGCAGTGTCAGGGTAGATTAGCAGCCAAGTCCACTGCAGGGGCCAAGACCCCTCCACCAAGCACACCCTGAGGTGGCATCTGGGAGACTGTTCCAACAGGCTCATCCCTGAACCCCAAACGTCTGTCCTGTTGCTTAGAGAAGACCAGCCCACCAACAGCTGAAGCATCACTGCACAAGGCTTCCTTGGGCCCCTGGAGAGAGAACTCAGCTCCAGATGTGCAGAAACACCCGCCAAGAGCTTTGGAATCTGTCTCAGACACCAGTCCCAGCTGATGAGGTTATTTCCGGCCTGGGAGCAGGAGAAAGGAACAAGCCCAGCCACATGAAGCCACAGCCACCCACCCTGCCCCTTCACCCCCAGATCTACCCAGGACCATGCCAAGGTGATGCCCTAGGCTCAGGGCAATGAGGCAGCTGCCCCTTGAAGCAGCAGATGGGCCAGCCCAGGCCAGTCAAAACAAGGTCTGGAACCCAAAGCTGGCCATGCATCCCAGAGCCCAGGTGCTCACCAAGGAGGGCAGGTCTCCCAAACCTCTACATCCTTCATAAGAAGAGGAACCCAGGCATCAGGCTCCCTAGTTCAGTCCTGGCTTAGCACTTATTCATGTGCCTTAGAGCAAACCTGGTACCTAAAAGCTATCACTCCAAGTTCCTGAAGCAATTAGCACCAGACACCCTCCTCCATAGCCAGCTGAGGCCAAGGCAGAGGTACCGACTGACACAGAGGCACTGGGACAGGCAACAGTGAGTGAGCTGATCTGGTGGGGAGGAAGATTGGGGCCACAGACCCCAGGGCAGGTGACTGTTGATGGCCAAATTGCCTGTCACCTGGAGACATTTCACCATAGAAATGCCACACTAGGGCTGGGCAGGTGGCTCATGCCTGTAATCCTAGCACTCTGGGAGGCTGAGGCAGGTGAACAGCTTGAGCTTAGGAGTTCAAGACCAGCTTGAGCAAGAGTGAGCACCCATCTCTACTAAAAAAAAAACAAAAAATAGAAAAAACTAGCCAGACCTAGTGGTGTATGCCTGCAGTCCCAGCTACTCATGGAAGCTAAGGAAGAGGATGGCTTGAACCCAGGAATTCGAGGTTGCTGTGATCTATGATGCCAAGGTATTCTAGCCAGGGGCAACAGAGTAAGACTGTCCAAAAATAATACCATGCTAGACTACAGCCACCCTGTGCCAGCCTCCCACTGCTGGTGGCCTGTGTATAGCCAGGGCTGTCTGGGTGGGGAGCTGGCCTGTCCATGAGGGACCCTGGGAGTGCTGAGGGCCCTGACTGCCCAGAAGCCACAGGGAACATGAAAGTGTTCCACACAGCCCCCCCCCCACACACACACTGTTATTGTCGAATCTTCCTCTATACTTTACTTTTGTGTCATAGGACTGACCCTAAAGCACCTCTGAGGCTCCTCATAGCTGCTCAGGGAGTTGGGGGTGCAGGATATGGAATACTTAGGGCAGCCCTGCCCAGCCCAGACATACACCAGGTAGCCGTTTGGGTCTCATCCTGGTTAGGTGCCCACCATCCCCCAACCAGAGGCTGCCTAATCAGAGATGCTTCCCTGCTGTGGAAAAAGGGCTGAGCAGCCCCAGCGGCCCGCCCGGAAGCCTCGAGCTGGCTGTGCCTGTGGTCAGGGACTTTCTAGAAGAGACAGGCATGACCCTCCACCCTGAAGGGAGGCTAAGATGCCAGCTGCACTCATGACTTGAGGGGTCCCCAAACGCCCCATCAAGAGGCTGGAAGGTCTCCCCAGTCTACAGGGGACAGCCTGGGCCTCTATGAGTATAATGGACATGGCGGGGAGGAGGCCCCAGGGGGAGAGACGTGGCGGTCCAGGGTGCTGGCTGCAGATTCTGGCCTCTCCCAGCTGCCTGGTGTGGTCAGAGCTTCTGAGAGAGCATTTCAGAGCTCGTGGGGTAGGGGCAACCACCGCGCATCCCATGATCCACTTCCTCATGGACCCCAAGGCCCAAGCAGAAGTTTGAATCCTTAGCTGGCCGGCCTTGCCCCTCCTGCCCCACCTCCTGACTGAGGCCCAGTTCCTAGAAGACGCTGGTCCAAAGGCCCTGCTCCCTCTCCACTCTCGCCCCAATCGCTCACCTTACATGTGGCTTCCTCCGGGATGGCTTTCCGAAGCCCCTACCCCAGACCCGGGTTCTCTCGGTCCCTTCCTCTCCCCGCCCCCTCGGGCCCGCGATCCCCCCGAGCTCAGGTGGTCTTTCCCAGATGGTATCAGAGTGGGGCCGACCCAAGACGGGAGCTAGGGTTCGCGGCGTGGGAGGTGGCAGAGGAGGGTAGAGGGGGCTGCAGACCGACAGACTAGCGGACTGACCGACGGACGCGGCTGCGGGCCTCCGAGCGGGCGGGGGCGGGGCAGAGGCGCGGGTGGAGGCATGCGCCCTGCCCGCCCCCCGCCCCCGGCCGCCGGGGAGCAGCCAGCCGTGCGGAGCCAACCGAGCCGCGGGAGCGGAGAGCGGCGGCAGAGGCGCCTAGGGAGGGAAGGAAGGCTGGGAGGAGGGAGAGGAGGAAGGAGGGGCGGCGGGGCCGCGCCGAGGGGAGGGAGGGACAGCAGGGCCGAGCCGTGCCCAGCGGAGCGCGCCGGCCACCGGTGGCGGCCGCCAGCACGCCCTGGCTCGCGGGCCGCTCTGCCGCCAGCCATCCCCGCGGCCCTCGGCGGCCCGCGCTCGGCCGGGGGTCGCGGGAGCCTGAACCGCAACCCCAGCTGCAGCCGGAGCCGGAGGCGGCAGCCGCGAACAGGATCCCCGGGCGCCCGAATGCAGGGTGAGCGCCACCGCCCTGGTCTAGGGGCAGCCGGGGGTGGGGGAGGACCCCGGAGGGAGGACAGGTAGGGAGGGGACTGTCCTAGAGGCCGCCAGCACTGCTTAGGGCTGGCATCCCCCCCACCTCCCGCTTAGGGACCTTCAGGGTAACTTACCCCCGGGCCAGCTCCTCCCTCTGTCCACCCCCCTGCCTCCAGGCCTGGCAACACCGCCCCCGGGGGCGCAGAGGGGGGCGGATCTAGGGGTCCCGGGCCTGCCCCTCCCCAGCACAACTTGGAAGGCGCAGGGGGGGCCGCAATCTCGACAGCATCTGGCTCCCCAGGCTGTCGCTCGCACGCGCCTTCGGGGTTGGCCAGGACTAGGAGGACCCACGGGGGATTCGCGGGCGTGAGCGCGCAGGTTAGGGACAGAAGCGGGGGAAACACTGGAGCCCCAGGGGGTCGGGACCTCAGGGGTGGGGGTGAGCGGGGGGGGGCGTGCCGGAGATGCGGAGGCCCAGCGTTCGCGCGTCCCGCCCTGGGCGGCGGCCAGGCCGGGCCCTGCAGGACCGGCGACAGCGCGGACAGAAACCTGCGTGGGGACGGAAGCCCGGGGCGTTGGACCGCGCGAGCCGGCGGGCGCAGCCGGAGCCCGGGGAATCCTTTCAAGTTCTGGGTTCTCTTTGTTGCGCAATAGAGCCACGGGGCCGCACGGCCTCATTGGCCCGGAGACTTGACGTCACGCCTAGGCCCCGCCCCCAGACCCTGTGGAGCGAGCCTTCGTGGTTAGGGTGGGTCTCAGGCCAGTCGCAGCAGCAGTCTGCCCTACAATAGGTCCGGCTTCTGGGAGGGGAGGCGAGAAGCCCCATCCTGAAATGCTGCAGGATGCTTTGAGTTTGATGTGGGAGAAACTTTCCAGCAGGAGACAGCGACACCCTGGGTACAGAGCACAATGGTGGGAGCCCAATCTGGCGTCTGGCACCTAGTGGCCGCTGCTCCATCTGGGTGTGTGATCGGTGGGTCCCAAGCAGGGGGACACCTTATTCTCACACACTCTGTCACTCTGCACTTGAAGACCTGGCATCCACTACCACGATCACCCTGAGGGACATTCCTCCCCTATCCTGGACCACAGTACTCAGGAGTGCTGGGCCCCAAACCCAGCTCTGACACTTTCCTCTCTGTGTGGCCAGTGAGCATTGAGTCTCAGTGTTCCCCTCTGTAGTGTGGTGACAGAAGGACTAGGGACAAAAAACAGAAAATGCCCTGTTGGCTCAGCGCCTGTGGCTCAAGTGGCTAAGGCGCCAGCCACATACACCTAAGTTGGTGGGTTCGAATCCAGCCCGGGGCCGCCAAACAACAATGACCGCTGCATCCAAAAAATAGCCAGGCGTTGTGGTGGGTGCCTGTAGTCCCAGCTACTTGGGAGACAGAGGCAGGAGACTCGCTTGAGCCCAGGAGTTGGAGGTTGCTGTGAGCTGTGATGCCATAGCACTCTACCCAGGGGAATAGCTTGCGGCTCTGTCTCAAAAATAAAATAAAATAAAATAAAATGCCCCGCTGACAAATATTTTAGGTTGAAAGTCTAGGTCTTTGGCTCGGCACCTATAGCTCAACCGGCTAAGGCGCCAGCCACGTACACCTAAGGTAGCGGGTTTGAATCCCCAGCCCGGACCCGCCAAAACAACAA